ATTGCAAATACCTTTTTTCAACAACACAAATGCTGGCTATACACATGGACTTCACCAGATAGAGTACACAAGAATCAGATTGACTACATCTGTGGCAAGAAGTGATGGAAAAGCTCAATAAATATATTGAGCCAAATCAAGGCCAGGAGCTGATTGTGGAACAGACCATCAACTACTTATATGCAAGTTCAACTTGAAGTTTAAGACAATTAAAATAAGTCAACAAGAGCCAAAATATGATCTTGAATATATCTTTCCTGAATTTAGAGACCATCTAAAGAATAGATTTGATGCATTGAACACCAATGACTGAAAACCAGAAGATTCTGGGATGACATCAAGAACATCATCCATGAAGAAAGCAAGAGGTCATTAAAAATATGAGAAAAGGGAAAATACCAAAATGGATGTCAGAAGAGACTCTGAAACTTGCCCTTGAGCAGAGAATTGCTAAAGCAAATGGAGGAAATGACAAGATGAAAGAGCGGAACAGATTTCAAAGAGCAGCTCGAGCAGACAAAAGCTAATTACTTTAATGAAGTGTGCAAAGACCTGGAGTTAGAAAACCAAAAGGGAAGAATGCACTCGGCATTTCTGAAGCTGAAAGAACTGAGGAAAAAATTTAAGCCTTGAGTTGCAATATTGAAAAAATTCTATGGGCAAAATTTTGAATGATGCAAGAAGTATCAAAAGAAGATGGAAGGAATACACAGAATCACTGTATCAAAAAGAACTAGTTGATCTTGATCCATTTTAGGATGTAGCATATGTCCAAGAACCAATGTTATTGAAGGAAGAAGTTGAAGCTGCACTAAAGGAACTGGTGAAGAATAAGGCTCCAGGAATTGACAGAAAACACATTGAGATGTTTCAACAAATGGATGCTCTGCTGGAGGCATTCACTTGGCTTTGCCAAGAGATTGGGAAGACAGCCACCTGGCCAACTGACTGGAAGAGATCTATATTTGTACCCATTCCAAAGAAGATAATCCCACAGAATATGGAAATTATTAAACAATATCATTAATATTGCATGCAAGTAAAATGCTACTGAAGATAATTCAAAAACGGTTGCAGCAGTATATTGACAGAGAACTTCCAGAAATGGAAGCTGGATTCAGAAGAGGATGTGGAATGAAGGATATCATTGCTGATGTCAGATGGATCTTGGCTGAAAGCAGAGAATACCAGAAAGATGTTTACTTGTGTTTTATTGATTATGCAAAAGTTTTTGATTGTGTGGATCATAACAAACTGTGGATAACATTGAGAAGAATGGGAATTCCAGAACACTTAATTGTACTCATGAGAAACCTATACAGAAACCAAGGAGGCTGTCGTTCAAACAGAACAAGGGGACACTGCATGGTTTAAAATCAAGAAGGGAGTGTGTCAGGTGTCAGGGTTGTATCCTTTCACCATACTTATTCAATCTGTATTCTGAGCAAATAATCCAAGAAGCTGGACTATATGAAGAATAATGTGGCATCAGGATTGGAGGAAGAATCATTAACAACCTACAGTGCACTGATGACACAACTTTGCTTGCTGAAAGTTAGGATGACTTGAAGTACTTACTGATGAAGATTGAAGAATATAATCTGCAGAATGGATTACATCTCAATATAAAGAAAACAAAAATCCTTACGACTGGACCAATAAGCAGCATCACGTCAAATGGAGAAAAGATTGAAATTGTCAAGGACTTCACATTGCTTGGTTCTACAATCGATGCTAATGGAAGCAGCAGTCAGGACATCAGACAATGTATAACACTGGGCGAATCGGCTGCAAAGGACCTCTTTCAAGTGCTGAGGAGCAAAGATGTCTCCTTGAGGACTAAGGGGCGCCTGACACAAGCCATGCTATTTTCAGTCACCTCCTATGCATGTGAGAGCTGGAGAATGAATAAGGAAGACTGAAGAAGAGTTGAGCTTTTGAGTTGTGGTGTTGGCAAAGAATGCTGAAAGTACCATGGACTGTTAAAACGACTAGCAAATTGTCCTGGAGGAAGTGCAGCAGAAATGCTTCTTAGAAGCGAGACTGACCACACTTCATCTCATCTACTTTGGTCATGTTGTCAGAAGGGACCACTCCCTGGAGAAAGATGTCATGTTTGGTAAGGTGGAGAATCAATGAAAGAGGGAAAGGCCTTCATTGAGATGGACTGACACAGTGGCAGTGGCGATGGGCTTAAGTATAGCAAGGAATCATGGAACTGGCACAGGACTGGGCAGTGTTTCGTTCTGCTGTGCATAGGGTTGCTATGAGTTGGAGATGACTTGACGGCATCTGAAAACAACAACAAAGTATGTATATATGTATGTATGTATGTGCAGTTATCTCCTAAATGTCTCAGAAAAGAGAATTAGCCTAATCGATAGGTAGAATTTCTCAGCCTGGCTTACCAATGGCATTTATATATATCTGATGTTTCCAACCATTTGGATTTGTAGCCCACAAAATACAAATATTTAAAGTTAATACAGAATGGTTCTTTTCAAAGATGTCCAAGTTTATCTGTTACGCCTTAAGAGATAAATAATTCATGGTGTGAAGTGGATTTTTATGATACATTAATACTTTCTTTTTAGAGTGAAAGAAAATGTCTTTATTTAAAGCCCGTGATTGGTGGTCTACTATTCTGGGAGAAAAAGAAGAATTTGATCAAGGCTGTTTATGTTTGGCTGATGTGGACAATAGTGGAAATGGACAAGGTGAGTAGTTTATGGCCATGCATTTTAGAGCAAACCTTTCCAGAGATGAACAAAAAAATGCCTTCTTTTAAAAAATATTTACTTTATACAGCTTAAGTAAACTATCATAATTTTGCCCTAATATTGCAGGTAGCTTTTCTTATTAAGTGATATTTAAGTAGAAGGCTAATATATAGAGTTATTTCTCTAATAAGGTATAGTTTTGAGTTGATTCTATCATATTTGCTGGAATTCATAGAAAAATAATATAAGGCATGACTTTTTAGTTTTCATTTGTTGAAAAATTAGGTTTTATAGGCTAGATCTAGTAAAACTATTTTAAATTTTTTATGTTTAGAAATCATTTGCCAGAAAAGTTATATATATATTTTATTTGATTGGAAAGCTATTCATATCAGAATGCAGAAATTAGTAGAAAACAATTTTCAAAAACTTGCTTTCTTTTCCACATTGTGATATTAAAAACAACATTCTATCTTATTATATTATTTTCTTTTCCTTGCATCTTTGCTTTTTTAAAGTGT